GTGACAGTGAGCAGAGAGGGCAGACAGCAGGGACAATGGCAAACAAATGTTTTAAAAAAAGTGCAGTGGGTTACTGAGTTTGTAGTTCTTGTGAATCACTGTCGTGCGTGTGAATGTTTCTGGCGCCATTTTTCCACAACACAAGGGGCTGTACTGACCGTACATGCGACACAGACAGATTTATGGCCCTGTTACGCAGCACTCATCTGTACAGTGCATTCTTCTTTCATGTGTGTATACGTATCCCTATAAGATTGTGGGTCCAACTACTGGAGCCCACGCATGTGTTTGTTTGAACAAGTGTTTGGGAGGAAAGACCATATGGCATGCAGAATGTCCTGGCAGATGATAGCAGAAGCGGATTTGACAACAAGCAAAGTGGTATTCTGTGCAACAGGAAGAGACAAATGAAGAACAAGGAAAGTGCAGACGATGGTTGTGTTTACATATTTGTTGTAAAAGCTGTTGGAGCCTGCAAGCTTGTTGTCAGCTGGTAGGATTTAATCATGCGGTAACATCACATCACGCCACATTAAAGCTGCGCTATATCATATCGTCAACGTAAAAACGCGATATAAGCAAATGTAATTTGGAGATATAATTTCAGCAGCCAGCCACGTGTCAACATCCTATGACAATTGACCTGAAAAGGGAGCTACTTCAACAACCTCCAACAAAAGCACAATGCTTTGAAAAATATGCACGACAAGTGTTCCTGCCAAAAGCTAGAAACAACACTCGTTTCACCATTTGAGGCAAAAAACACTGTTGAGAACAACCAGGCTACAAAAGAGGAGACACTAGCAGCTGGTGATGCGAGACCCAGATGTAAACAAATGACTCCACCGAGCTTTGCTGGAGCACTCATTAGCTGCACGCCATATGACAGGAAGAGCAAACGGTGGATGGAAATTACTGATGCGGTCAGATCGTGGAAAAGCAGCGTTTTAAGCAGCTGGTTAAAATCCCTCAATCCAAGATTCAGAAGTCAGTATCTCAGGTAGAAAATATTTTTATGTGACCACCTTGCACAGCTCTTGAAGTGTTACACAGGAAAGTTATGTTATTCTTAAGTGTTAATCAGTTATTATATACTTTCCATTTAGAGTTTCCAGGTAAAATACTACCAAGGCTATTTTTGGGCTTATATATAATTTATGCTGTTATAACACCACTGCACCAAAGCGCGGGCACCTTCAAATCAGAAAGTGTGTCATCAATGACAGTTATTAATTATTTTTAAACCCCCCCCCCCCCAAGAGGATAAAAATGCTGCTGCCTGCAAGTACGGATAGTACTTTTGTTTTCCTAGATTGTCATAAATATCTGGATATCATTTAGAGATACCCACCCCTACACAAAATACAGAAAGACCTCGGCACATATCGTGAATAATGCAGCTTACAGCAATGAAGAACAGCACGGTTCCTTTGAAAATAGGAAAACATAAATATGTGTTATAACTGGTTCCCAGCTGCACACTTTAATAATAAAATAGTTCATGCTCAAGTCCTGTGTACGGCTCCTGACATCTCTTTACTGCTCACTTCACACTCTTGTATTCAAGCAGAAGGAAAAACACTGCATGGCAGATGTTAACACTAAATGTTTCATTACATGTTTCTCTTCTCTGAGTGAACATAAATATCTAACAATATAATCCTGAAGCTGCGTGAATGAAAATTACACACAAGATTTTAATTTCTACTGACATGACAACCTGCTGCCTCCGCTGTCATTGTTCCACTCTCTCTGTGTTTTTCCTGTGGTCTTTTTACACAGTGACTTGGAAGTGACAAGAAAGGCTTAAGAAAATGAGGAAGAGAGGGGGAAGAAGCAGGATGGTTGACTCAGCTGTTAGCTGAGCTGATCTCACTAACCTAAACAACAACAATGAAGATCAGAGGAGGGACAGGGACCCTTGTTCTCTTTGCAGAAGAAAATAATGGTGATGAGAACAACAAAGAAAAGAGGTTATGACTGCATCTGCAAGCAGGGAGAAGGGAGGAAAAGACAGTTGGGCCAGGATGTCTTTTTCTCAGTTTGTGTCTGTAGCTGTGTTAGTGAAAGTTCGGAATAACTAAAGTACATCCGTGTGCCAGGTTACATATAACTGGTGTATTAATAAGCAGATAAAGTAAAGTGCTCAATCAAAACCTGTGCACAGCTGGTGACAGACAGAAGGTGAGTAACATGTGGACTGTATATGAATCAAACTGAGGCAAGCCAATCAATACTTGGTGCATTACTGCATCAATACTGGAAAACAGCCTCAGTGCTGGTTCAGGTGTTCAGGGCAGGGAGCCGAAATCTTAAATTCAAGTCTGTGTTATTCTAAGTTTAGTATGTCAGGCATCAGCAGCAGTGCGCCCATAAACTCTTACATTTTGCAAACAGAACTTATATAGCATGGAGAGAGCTAACAACAAAGGGTGAGCGGCCTGGATGCATTTCACTTTTACTGCTAGAACAAATTCTGTTAGTGTTTTTTTTGCACTGTAGTCGTTGATGGTGAAATCCTTTTTGGTTTCTCTCCTCCAGTTATTTTAGTTTTTTTTTAAATTATTTATTTTATTTGGTCAAGTTTAGACTTTTGCTGCAAAGCTTTTTAAACTTCACCCGTGCCTGGTCTGCGGATAGTGAAATAGACACATTCACAGACTTGGTGAAGAAGGGAGCAGAGGAAGCTGGGGAAGAAACTGTTGCAAACATAGTTGAAAGCCTCTTGTGTTTTATCAAACTGCTCTCAAATGAAATACGTGCAAATAAATTAGGCATTAAAAAACATTGAAAAGTTAAAAAAAACAAATGCCCATTTTACTGGCCTTGTTCCTTAAGTAAAGCCTGATGCTGCCTTGCATATAGAAGAGTCATGCAGAGTCTCTTCTTCTCCTTCTGTAGTGAGGACTACTAATTTAAAACTGGTATCAGTCAAAGCAAAACAGAGCTATCAGTAGTACATCTTAAATACAAACACTTGATTTTCCGTTACCTTCAGGATCAAATGACTGGAAAACCCTCCTTGCCTGTTCTGATGGAGACTCTGGACCAACCAGTGACATCTCCTATTTGGAGACAGTAGGGACAAAGACACAAGACATTAAAGACAAGAGCAAGTAAAAAACATGTGTGCACTAGAACGTGAAGAGGTTTAACCCTAAAGTGACCACACACATCCAATATTTGTATGCAGAGTGAGGAGAGAGGAGAATAGTTGGGTCATATTTCTGTCATTTTAGATGATCATCTATATATCGCTATCTTTCTCTTTATCTATATATCTACTAAGAGCAGATTTCAATTGGTCCTGCCCAAGTTGAGCAATACTAATGCACCAAACCCACTTTATATTCTAAACATGCAGTCAATACAGAGCACCACTCATAGCAGTAGGTTTGTGATTCACTGTTGGTACATTAAGCATGTATGTGTGGAACCTAAGGGGCCTGTGCAATCACCAGAGTTCATTGGGTTATTAACTGATTTGCTGATAAAGTTAGATGGCTTGTTTTCACTCCAAACACAGTGTCAGGAAATCAAGTCTTAAATATCTAGCTTGTGATTTATGACGAGCTCTGCAATGTTTGTATGTTGGTAAAGTTTGGAGAGAGCAACGCTGACAGGCGCAGCAGATGTGAAGAGTTGTGTTTATCCATCTATAAGTGGTCGATGCCTCGTACAGCTTGCTTATGCGAAGCCTTCATTACTCTTTCTGTACTGAGGAAATTGGGAATAAAAAAAATAAAACCAAAAAAACCCCACAACTTATCAGACTGTTGGACTCTGAAATTCTTCCTCCCACTCCATTCCACTTTCTGACTTTGGAATTGACATTTAGTCTTACTTCCCAAAACTAAAAATATGAAAGCATGAACTAAAATCTTCAGGGCTGATAAAGGTTTAGACCCCTTTTTTTGCACACAACTTCTAGAGTTCTAATAGTAAAATCAGGAAAGTATTTTGACCCACAAGGAGGACATGACCGCAAGGTTTTTACCCATTTGGAGTATAAACAATTTTGCCTCTGGAGGCTGTTGGATGATGTGTTTGAAAATCAAGTTTGTTTAAAACATACCAAACCCTTAATACAGCACTTTAACCCCAGAGTCCTGCGATAGATCTTGTTGGACAACCCCCCTCAAAATGAAAAGAAACGTCCTGACTTATCTTATCTTGCATTTAGGTATTATTTGATATTTTCAAACTTGGTGTCAGATCTTGTCAAGATTATACAGGTTTTAGAGTCGAATAACCAAAGTGTCTGATAAGCAACACTGAAAGCAATCAGTGATAAGGAGAGCGAAGGTAAATGATAAAGTGCCCTATAAATGTTTTTCATGTGTAAACACTAAAAAGAGTTTAAGAAAAAAAAGCTCACAGGAGATGGAGGGAATATTTTAAAGAGAAGAGAAGGTAAAGATGAAATACTTGTTCAAAACGTGAAGACAAGAGTCGGAGGGTTCTCACTGTTCTTCCTTACAAGACTGTACTTATGACAATGAATCACTGGACAAACACATAATGTTTTGGGAGAGCAAATGAACCCTCCACATCTCCTTTAGCCAGCCTTTATTAAAGCTTGAGCCTCTGATCCACACAGGCTGCTTGGGTTTCATGGTCCACTTATTACTGTATTCGGGGCTTACTTAAGGAGAGAGGAGGCTTTTTGGGGGGTGGTGAGGGTGGGGTGGGGTGTAAGGGGGACACATCCAAGAAGAGATGACTCCCAGCTGCAGGCTCTTCAGATGCAAAGAAAAACAGTCACACCAGCAAACGTACGCTCACACACTTTTCTGTGACAGAGTACAGCAGAGGCCTGATGTGTTAACATTACAGGCTCCATAAATCTGACAGAAGATTTTTCATTAGTTAGATACGTCTATGCTTCACTTCCAAGATTGAACAATTCCCAGAGGAATAAAGTGCTGAAAAAAAGTTTAGAAGGAGTTGAACAAACGTCCGTATCATGAAACATGAACTGTTTTGATAAAATGTAATTAAGCCTTCTACCCCAACTGAGAAAATAATCCTCATTTGAAAGACATGGGGCTTAATTAATTTAAGGCTACATATAGACGTCGAATAAGCCTCGTGAACTGAGAGTCAGTTTGCCATGTTCACCTGATAATCTAACATTTACAGATTGCGTTCCAACGAAGACACAAACACTACTAAGTGGTCATCAACACACTAAACAAAACATATCATTATGGCCGACCATTACACACAGACGCACACCAATATGAGCACAAGAAAGGGACTAATAAAGACAATGACTCGTGTGAGCGTCAAGACCATGCACAGGCACATAAAATGACAGCAAAGCCTACATGACTGTGTGTGCAATGATAGGTCTGCTTGGCCATCTTTGATCTGTGTTTTATTAGAGGCCCGGGGAAGACGCTGCTGAGTTGGAAAACATGTCATGGAGCTAACAAACTCTGCAGGGAAGTGTGTGCACGCATGTTGTGTGCCTCACAATTTCATTCCACTCAAACTAATTGAGTAATAGTTCATGTCAGTGTGTATGTGCGAGCGTCTATGCAAGAGGTAGTGTCAGTGCAACAAATAAATTGCATCCTGTGATGAAATTCATTTGGTACAGTGTTAATGCAGAGAACCAGTGCAATGATACACTGCAGCACCAAAGCCAGGTCTGAGACGCACACGCTGCTTGTCAAGGAGCACATTCCAATCTCTGCAGTGCAACCTTTTCTGTGCAAACCCGTGACCTCAGCAAGGGAGCGAAAACAAGCTTCTCTAAAGGAACAAAGCAGGAACTACAGTCATGCAATCACAAGGACTTAAATATACAATGTAATGTAGAACATTTGCTCCAAGTAAAACTGGAATACATTTACGTTCCTTGCCAAAAAATTTTAAGAGACCGGAAAGGGGATCCGAGTAAGAATTCAGGAATGTGTGTTTGTCTTTTAATCAACCGTCCTTTTCAGCAAAAGTCTTTTTATTAGATCAAGAGCATTGTTAGACAAAAGAAAATTACAGATAGGAAATAAAATTTGCAATTATGCATATTTTAGCTAATTAACTCACGTTACACAGAGAGGAAGCCTTCATTTAGCCAACAAAATATTTGAGATCACAGACCTACTTGTGCAGTAGCTATTAAGATGATGATAGACGAATGCTAATTATTTAAGTTTACTTGCAACCTTTGATTTCATGTAACAGGTGATGATGTTCTTATTCTTTTCAGATGAAAATACTATTTATTTTTTAAAAGTCATGAAAGCAAACACATACAGCAACCGATGCAAGAAAAACTCCCAAGAACAAACATTAAAACTGGATGAAGGAGTGTTTTGTGTACTATTGTTATCTGATGAGCACAACCCAATTTTAGGAAGTAATGCCTACAGCACGGTTGGATTTTGCAATTGCCACCTGCCTACCCAATGCCATAAGACTAAATTAGTGCATCTCATCTCAATCATAAACAATCTAATTTTGTGTTTTACCAACACATAAAAAAAAAAAAATTTCCTCCCTAGCTTAAGAACAGCAGCCCAAGATTTACTGCAGCATGTTCGATAAAGTACAATGCTCGGCTGATCTTTATTATTTGTGTTATGTTCAAGAAATGTTTGCTGACTACTGTCTTCAACTTCACCTCTATCCATCTGCTTTCATGCTGCACTGTGCTCACCAGGCTGAGAGGCTCTCTTAGGTTGACGTCTCATGCCCTTCCTTCTTCCCCTTTCATTCTTTCTCCCTGCCCAGCTTGCCCCCCCCTCACTTACCTTTTTCTGTGCTAAATAGGTACTCCAGTTTTGGAGTATTTCCTCCCCTCCCTCCCTTAACTTTTGTTCCATTTTCTTTCCACCTTTCAGCCTTTATCTCCACATGCATGTAGCTACTTCAGGTAAGACAGGTAGACATAGCACTTTACTAGAATTACTCTCTCTTTCTCACCGGTCCATCCAAAGAGCTATTGTGTTGCTGAGAGGCTTTGAGTGGCCATAGAGTGCGTCTGTAGAGATCAGTTTCAAAACAACAAAGCAGAGGTCTTGGGCAGTGTCTCCCATCTTGTTCCTAGCAGGTAACGACAGACTCACTACATGACAGGCTGAGAAGAGAGTCTGTGAGTGAGGGCTTGTTATGTAGAGTGTATGTGTCCCTTTAGTTCACCTTAACTAGCCTGTGTGATCACGAGTAGAGAAGAACAGAAGCTCCGTGTCTCTCTTGCTACATAATGAGTGAGTGCCGTTTCAGGTGTGACAAAGCAGGCTAAGCAGTGATTTATGAAACTGTCTTAGATGGGCAAAAACGTGTCTCACCAGAAAAGAAAGGAGACACCAGAGAATAGTTATACAGCGTAATGATGCGTCTTATAACAAAGAGCAGCACCTGAGGGAAAAGGAAGAATAATGCACACATACAGCGACAAAGATAGACTTTTATCCTACTACAAAGACCTTTGGTCTGACCTGTCACAGATTATTAATGACTGTTAATGTACACCGCTTTGTTAGTTTGTGTTTGCGTGTGGCCCGCGCCCACTGATCACATGGAGACCAAAAATTAATCGTGGATGACCAAACAAATTTCATAAAGGCCCCGCAGATTATTTTCCTGTTGTCGTTTTAAATATTCATTCTTTAAGAACGCAATACATATGTCGTTTTGCAAACATGCGCTGATTGAGTAATGAACAGGGAGATTTGCAATTTACTTTATTACATCAAACACACGAGTTGAAATAATATGTTACACATTACACTGAAGAATACTGTGAGCTGCAGACAAGATATTTGGAAAGGGATGGCAAATGCACCTTAGGTCTGAAATATTTTATGTTGAAGATATTAGCCATATTCCAGTAGCAGTAAAACACCAATGAATTAAAGCTAACTGTGTCTGCACACAACTTCTTCCTCCTTACCAGTCCCTGAAAGACATCCTCTGTCTTTGCAGACAGAAGCTGGAGTCTTGTGGGACACAGAGCGCCATAGCGGCTGCTCGCTCTCCTAGTAAATCACTGACCCAGAGCACAACTACTGTACACACATGCACACACATAACTCCCCGGAGAAGCGCAGATACAGCCTGTGAACCTCATCACTCAGTGAGGGCAGAGTAAAGAGCGATGAGAAATGTCACAGGGGGGCTACCCCCACCTCCTTTCCTGAGTGACCACCACACTGCTCTTTAAAGTGCATCCTTCCTTTCTACTTCCTTTCCTCCTGTTTCCTTCCCATGAGGGACCAACAATCTGAAGAGACTGGCTAAGGTGCGCTGGGGAGTCCTTCACTTGGGCAACAGACCAAGCTTCAGCTACTTCAAAGAAAGAAGGAAAAGGAAGGATGGAAGAATCTTTTTTTGTTTTTTAAAAAACATACTATATGATACTCATCCGTCACCCATCTCTCCACTTCTTTGCTTTCTGTCCTTTTTCTGGCGTCTCAAAAAAACTCTCGTCCAGAAACAGATCCCATTACATGCCATTATACACACTCAGACTCTCTCTCTTTCACATGGACACACACATTAATACAACTGAGAACAGAGTGCAGGAGGTATTGTGGGTACAGATCAAAATTGGCAGGATGGTCTTTGTGTAGGCAGATTAGATAAAAAAAACAAAACAAAACACTAATGGCATTAAGCTGATGGCCTGAAAGCCACAGTCACACTGACAACCACTCAGGGGAATACACACCCGTCCCCAGTGACAGAAAGAAGGAGCCACTGACACATCAGAGGCGGGGATCAGGTTTTCTGTTTTTGTGGCGATGGTTCTATATCGGAGCTAAAAGCTACATAACCAGGCACGTTTATTTTTATACCATAAAGCCCAGAAAAGTATTCTCGAAACACAGATTCACTTCACAGTAGGACAAGGTCCCACTGAATGAGGCCCCACATCTGTCTTCCTGACCTCAAGCTCAAAGTTGTAGAGCTCATTACTGTTGGCATAGTGTACAACTAGCCCATGTTCCTCAGTACATATGCATACATGAATGAGTGTGTTCAAGTGTGTTTCCAGTGTCTAGAGGTACAAATACATCCAGATGAGAACATGGGAGTCATATTTCCTTCAAGAAGCCATCCACCTAAAGCAACACACACACACACAACTAATGCTAATCAGGATTAGGTTTCCTGTGCTCTGGAATGTGTGTGTATATGCGAATATGTCACTAGTGCTGGGGGAATTGTAGAAATTGGTAAGTCATCTGTTCACGCATGACGACTTTAGGTCATAGCGGAGGCAAAATACAATCCGCTCACATAGCGGGCATGAGATTATTCCCGTAACTGAGCTTTTAATCAATGATATATTAGCAGGGTAGCGTTATGATGGAGATGATTACTTGGGAATTTTTTCCCCCCCCTCTGGTGCAATTTTCACAACAGCAGAGATAATCGATTTGCTACAACTGAAACTTCCAACTTTAATTCACAAGCTAAAGCAGCATATTAAATTACATGTTCACTAATGGAGAAGGCTTGTTTGAGTGTATAACTCAGATGCAAGAAAAAATGGGACAATAATTCATTCATTCATTCATTCACCAAAAACCAAAGATTTCTTTTTCCTCTCCTCAGATTTCCAACAACATGTTTGGCCACAATTAGAGCCCCTCTGGTATATCAGGACTGAATCAGTATAGTGTGTTACAGAACACAAATCTCCAGAGCGCCTCAACTTGTAAAGGAATCTCACACAGTGCTACAGTAATATACTAGTGCATCTCATCTTCCTCTTTACAATGTTACATAGGTTCTCATTTGGGTTCAGGTCAGCTGATTTGGCTGGCCAATCACAGACAATAATAACATGGTCAGCAGCATGGTAGCAGTTTTGGGACACTGGCCAGGTGCTAAGTCCTGTTGGAAAAGGAAATTGACATCTCTATAAGATTTGTCAGCCAATGGAAGCATAAAGTGCTTTAAAATTTCCCGGCAGTTGGCTGTGTTGACTTGGATGTGATAAAAAAAGAAAACTAACAACTGTTAACATCAGCAGGTGACATACACCCCCCTCCCCCCCATCACAGACTTCAGACACCTCACACTGGACTTCAAACATCTTGAGTTCTGTGCCTTGCCACTGTTCCTTCAGACTCCAGGACCTTGATTTTCAAATGAAAAGCAAAATGTACTTTCATCTAAAAAGAGAACTTTGAACCACTGTGCAATTTTTTCCAGTTTTATTTCTTTTTAAACCTGGTAAGACGCTTCTGATACTGTGTCTGAGCGGTTTAATATTAGGAATGTGACAGTTGCTGCTCCTTTCCTGAAGAGATCAACCTCAGTCAGCTCTTTGTGGAGCTCTCACCAGTTCTTGAATGGACTTTTCTCGACAAGGTTAGGGTACACCTTTTCCTGCCATACTTTTTCCTTGTAGTCGGCTTGCTTTGAAATTTGACTCTTAAAACAGCCAGCCTTTTCAGCAATGACCTTCTGTGCCTTACTGTCCTTAGAAGGGTGTTGATAATCGCCATCTGAACAGCTGTGAAGTAACCAGGCTTCTCTGAGAGAGAAGACTGGACGAGCTTTTATACTGCTTGATTGGCAATTTGCTCAAACTTAAAATATTCTAATAATCTGGGATACTGGACTTCAGATATCAGAGAGTTTTACATGCAATTAATGTAGAATATACTGTATATAGAATATAAGCCTATATTTTTTAACCAAACTACCAAAAATATATTTTCATAATATCCTAATTATTTGAGATACAAGAGTATGTGGGAGTGCATTGCCATCTGGGATTATTAACATTAAAATAACTATTATTTCCCAAGTACTAACAAAACAGACACTGGATTAAATACTTAGACCAACATTCGTTGTGCTGTTTGGGGCAAATTTTTTCTCAGTATCTTGTTTTTAGTGTCAGATTATTTTGGCATCTTGGCTCACAGTAAAAATCTCATACCCAACCACTGCCAATAATCAGTTGTGTTCCATTTGCTTACTTACTTTCTGACATTTCCTGAAATGCAATGGAAAAATCGAACATGCACTGGGAGCTACTTCTGATTGTTGTTTCAGAGGCTTTATAACTCTCGTGACAACGCTGTATAAAAAACTTGTGCCAGAAGAGAAAAATCTGTGATCCATACTGATGGATTTAACCTGACAGTGAAGGTGGTTAGAAGTGCAGATTCTTGCTGGAGCACAAACTCAGCAGTTTGTATGCTTACAATACTTTAAAATAAACCACATATTGTTTAGTTGATCACAGATGGTTGATAAATTAAAACTTTGTGTGTTTGTGTTTGAGAAGTGAGAAGGAGCGAGAATGCAGACCATGTCTGTGTGCCAGTATTTGTTAAGTTCATCTTTGGGAACTGAGCATTTTTCCCCCATACTTGTTAGGTGAAAAGCCAAGAAAGAGCACCGGCCATATATGACTATCTTCTGTACTCATTTTTCTCCCCCCTCCCTCTCTGCCTCTGGTTTTTCCCCCACATTGATATCTGACCTGCACTATTTTAAAGCACCTTCCATATTCTGGTTTTTCTAACCTGCTGAGAACACTGGCTTATGTTACACATTGTATGTCTCTGTGTGTGAATTATATGCTACCTCTCCAATGGATGTGTGTATTGAACTTGCCTTGGTGAAAAATACAGAGAGGTGAGTTTCACTGCCAAGGATCCAAATAGGGAACTTTGGAGACTTGAGGAATGCCCCGACCTGCAACACACACACACACACACACACACACACACACACACACACACACACACACACACACAAACACAAACACACACGCACACACACAAGGAATGCATAACCTGTGAGTGTCTATTTCAGTAAATTTCATCATGAATCAGTAATCGCTTGAAATGTAACATGCAGATTTTCCATTCAACATTAATATTTAAATAACAGTGGCATGTTATTTCTCTAAAACCCTCGACAATAATATGCATAATGAAATGCTGTAAAATGACAATGATAACTTAAACCGCCATGAATAGCATATAAATGCGCTGCTTTGTAAGGTCGATCTTAAGAGCTCTTTAGTTACTTTGGCAACCATCTACTTGCCATTAACCTATTACAGCTGCTTACTCACTTTACCTGTTCACAGGCTCCATATCTCAACTTCAGCTATTTTTGGCTTGTTTATATTGATAAATGAGCATTCCTGTTTTTCAAGCCAGTGAAATTATTTTGTGGTACAAGCATTTTTATACGTTTTCGCTGTGATTCGTTTTGAATAAATCAGCGTTTCAGTACACGTGTTCCAAAAATAACTGTTCCTTCCAAACATATTTTCGCATGGGAGTACAAACTTTGGCCTGTGGTTCACAGTTTGAGATGTCAGAATTACAACTAACAACAAGTGTTTGTGTCTTTATTTGTATTTGTAGTCCTCCTTTCAGTTTACGCAATGGGCGTCCATCTTTATTTGCATTCAAGCTTTCTTGAACAAACACAAATCCTCTACAAGCTCACAAACAACCACCACTGGACAGTTTGTTTATACTTTTAAATTATGCTTCGTGAACCTACAGAAAAAAGTTGGCAAGCTGTGTAAAACGTATATGAAAAAAACTGAATGATTTGAATCCATTTCGACTCCATAGCTAATTGAAAACATCTTTATTGCTGGAACTGTAGAAAACTGTAGTGGGTTTTGAAAAACAGAATTGGGACTGCAGCTTTAAAAGACTGGAAAAGTTGGGCAATACTAGACAATCACTTTGTGGAGAATTTTATAACTGATTCGATTAACTGGAAACAGTCAGGATGATGGCTGGATATAAAAAGAGCACCCTAGAGATGCTGAATCTTTCAGAAGTAAAGATGTGGATGGCATCATCATTTGTTGAGAGACCATATGGTCATAATGTTAAATAATTCAAGAGTGTTTCCAAACATAAACTACCAAAGACTTGGGGCATTTCATCATCTACAGTTTGTACTACGGCCAAAAGATTCAGAGAATCTGGAAACATATCTGTACGCAAAGGACAAACCAGAAAACGAACATTTTTCTGATCACAATTATTATAAATGGACATAGACTATTGCTGGTAAACACAATTTGCAGCTGTATCCACAAATGCAAGTTAAAACTCAACTATGCAACCAGAGAAAAACAAACATCCTGACAAATCCACATTTAAAATTCTTTTTGGAAAACTTGGACATTGTGTCTCTGAGGAACAAATGAAATGGACTGTCTGGCTTGTTATCAGCATGAATTCAAAATTCAGCATCTATGATTGTATGGCATTATGTGTTTGCATTGGTGCATAAAGTGAGGGCATCTCAACTTAATTCAAATGCATTTATAAAGCACAAAAAACTGAATAGATAAGAATGTGCTAAACATAGGAGCACAGGAGACACAATGGGCAAATCAGACACTCAAATGCCAATTAGTACAAATAGGCTTTGACTCAATGAAGGAACAGATTCGACTGTGAAGGGAATGCTGTTCCACAGTTTGGGGGAAACACAGTGAATGCATGACCTCTCCCAAGTTTAAATCTAGAGCGCAGGACAGTCAGAAGCATCTGATTGATTGACCAGAGGGACCTGGAAGCAGCGTATTGATGTAAGAGGTTGGACATGTAATAATGAATCAGACCATGAAGGGCTTTGTAAACAAACAGAGCCTTGCACATCGGGCAAATAATCATAATTTCTTAGCAATATATGCAGGAATCAGTGCTACACTTGCTAACCACATAAAAATGTCAAATGCATTTTCAAGAAAGACCTCGCTTGCTTCACTAAGACAATGTTAAACCACAATTTGGACTCATTACAAAAGCATGGCTCTTTAGCGCCCCTGCAGGCCAATCTGTTGCAGGGCGGATATTTTCCAAAAGCCAATACAATTTCTAGGCTTCAAAATTTGATGTTCACGTAGTCAAATGACATGTAACTACTACCTGTAACTACATGTAAGCTTCATTTGATTTGAAAATGATATGTTTTGTGACATTTTAGAGAGCTTCCCAAGCTTTGTGAAAATGTAAGTGTATCTGTGTCTGTACCTTGCAGTAGCGTAGTGATTCCATCAGTGTGAGAAAACCAACACATGCCTGTTTATGAATTCCCTGTAGTTCTGCAAGACAAGAATGGGGAGAAAAAAACCCAACAACAACAAAATAAGAATTCCAATGATGTCAAACTGGTGTTCATTTTTAGTTTTGTGCAGTGCTGTGAGGTTTAAGAGTTATGACAGTCTGGTGACCAGAGTTTAAATCTTAGACCGCAAATGACTTCTGCAACTCTCATATGTGTAGATGTTTCTTTTGTGTGGATTTGGTGTCTTTAAGCATCTCCGTGCAATCCTTAATTGAAGTCTTACTCATTCCAGAGCACTCCCTGTCTCCATCCCAGACATTAGAGACAGCATGACCAGTTATAAGAAGGTTCACCAGGCTTTGACTGCAAAAGAGGGGAAAAGACACATCGAGAGGGTGAAAAACAAACAAACAAACAAACAAAAAAAACAGTTCCACATAAAATGTAAAATATCTACCACTTGCAGCAATTGTCATGTTACTATATAAGGATATGGAAACAACTGGTGAAGATTTGCTTCACTACCTCCCATGGCCATGTACAGGATCTATGAGAGGCTCCATTGTGTCCTGGATCTCATTCCTTATATTTTCAATGCCCTGCACAAACAGAACCAGAGGAAATTAATGTATTTAATTTTTGGTTTTGGTTTGGATGAATGACGATGATTTAATGCAAAAAGTCAAGGTCTTAAATTCAGCAGCGGTTTCATTCACATCATAATTATTTCAGTATTGCATTTTTCTAACCATCTCTGTCTAGTGCTTTCATTTCTTTACCTTAGTGAGGATGACAGAATAAAGGAAAAGCAAGACTCCACAGCACCCCCTCCAGGTGTGGTAGAGAGACAGCACCTCCTCTCTGAGATGGGCCACTGACATGACCGTCCGTTTGCTGCAGGAGGGAAACAAACACAAGAATGATGTATGAAACACTCAAAAGACAAATGTGCTGGGCTTCCAGAGGTGTCAATTTGACAAATGCACTAACTGAGTTTGTGATGCCCAGATGCCCTTTCACAACAGGGCAGGCATCAAATAAATGAGAGGGTGAAGAATAATCTGATCTTTTGTTTGGAGCCACTTCCCTCCTTTGCTCAACCTTGGAAAGTTTGGTAGTGAAGCTATTCGTCTTGGTTTGCGTGAGTCACAGTGAGTCAGCACTGCTTTTTGCTGACTACCGTCTCAACTGCCAGTGCGCTATTTGATGAGATTTCAATATTGGTCTGGCAAACACACCACTGCATTTACTTGGCTTGTGTTTGTGTGGCAGACGGTGTGAGAGAAAGGTAGTTCTTTTTTATTAGGCAATCAGTGAAAATGCTGAATCAGCAAATTGTGAGCAGTGAGTGAGTGAAAAAGGTAACACCGATGTGAAAGCCAATTCTTGCAGGCTTAGATTTATCTAGTTGAAATGTGCTGCTCTCTAGTACAGTAATGCATATTGACATCTGTCCCACAGTGACTTACAAAGTCCAAATCCCTCCAGAATACCAACAGTAATTACTTAATATCAGGATTTTATGGGTATTAAAGAAGCTAATTGTTATAGATGGACAGAATATTTACTGTCACTTACTGGAGAATACTGTGAAATTGCTCAAAGCCAAGCTCCTCAGCAGCCAAAGCAGCTAGGCACAATAAAACACACAGAAACCATAGTATTAGAGCATGTCACATTAAAATACTGGATCAAGTGATTAGTCATTAAAAATTTCTATTTAACAATTAAATATTAAGACAAGTCTTCATTTAAACAGTAAAAATACTTCTGCAGTTTCATTTTCAACGTGCATCTTTTATGGAAATGTGACAGACGTAGGACTCACTGGGTTGCTGTTCCTGTGGTGGCTGACTGCTTGCTGGCTCTGGCATGTCCTGTGTTTGCGACTGTGCCTGTGTGATTGTTTGTGTGCTAGTGTGTGGGCTCTGTCCTTTGGCCCAGGTCACCAGGCAGAACCCCGTGGAGGTGCTTGAGCAGACAGACTCCAGGATTTCGCTTAGCGTCGAACAGAGTGCCATTTTCTGCTCCTCCTCTAACATACACAAACATAAAAGGTGCTTTAAAAAAACAAAAAAAAACCCCAAAACCATTCTGACCACATAAAATTAAGAGCACAGGCAATTCAATGAATGAGTTTTTTTTTTAAAGAAATTACCTGGCATTTGTCTCCAGTTGGAACTCTCTCTGTTAAAGAGGACATTTTTTAGGAGGAAAGCCTGCAAAGAAACAAACTCTGTAACCAAATTTGCAAGAAATATTGCATGGTGCAATGTGTTTTATGTCTTAGACATCGTTTGTCCAAAATCAGCAATCACAGACTAACAGAAACTAATATTTACTTCATTTTATACAAGTAACCATTTTTATGGGGTGGCCAGTTATACAAATTACATTTTTGATCAAAACAAGATGGTCAAGATTAGATTTTTCACAATGTTTGTCTCACTTTGTCTTCTTTTATAAATCCAGTGTACCTTTTTTCCTCGTGATGGGATCTATTATACGTTTCCTTAATGGTGGATGTTTACATAAAACAAGGAATATGTTTCAAAATGTGAGGTCAGCATATGTGCATATAATACCTCTTAGCTAAACGTTCAGGTGCTCTAAAGTGAGCCACATGTGTCTGGCTGTGAGTAGCCCTACCTACTGTTAAATAACACCCTTTGTTTTTAAACAGAAAATTGTGTTCAAGGGAGGGTAAAAGTGGCTAAAAATGTTTTATAGAATGTGGATGAACTGAAGAGCTACACTACAGCCCAGTGTAAGATAAAATACAATTATTTTAAACTATAAGTCAAACAAAGCTATTTTTGAGACCAAGACCACAAGTGAGCATAACACATCTCCTTTAAAGCAGAAAACCTTATTGTCATCACATACCAGTTGGGGCACATTTAGTTCAGTTTGCATTTATTATAATCTCAATTTTAACCAAAATAATTGCATACAGAGATTTTATCATAAATGAGCAGGACAAATTGTCAGAAGACTGAATACGATCTTACCTGGACAGGTGCAATTACAGCACAGGGCCCTCCTTCAAACTGCTCCAGTGCTGTGAGCTCACTTTCACTAAAAACAAATCCTGTGATAAACAGCAAAAAGATTTTGTGTCAATAACAACTTACAAAAACAAAACAAACAAACAAATGGATATCCAGCTGAAGACCTGAGGGCCACAGACCAAAATCAGGGCGTAAACCGCAAAAGGCAGGTAAGTATTTATACTTTCATTTTCGGTATTTTACACTTTAACTTTGTTTCAGCTAGAATTTCAAACAAAATCACTGCTTGCTGTCTTTTGGTCTTAAAGTCTGGATAGAGTGGATTATTGCTTCATACCTCTTTTGGGGGAAATTAGTTTAAACTCTTATCAACATACTGAGAAAAAGTATCATACCTTGGGCCCATCTGCGGAAAATGGAGACAGACACTCCACTGGAGGGTCTCCCCCAAACCAAATCCACCACATCTTTATTTAACTGTGACATGTTAGCTTTCAGTGTTGGATGACAGTCAGTCCCTCTTCAGTCCAACAGCCAGGTGGAGAAAAGATAGGTCTGTTTACACCAACTTGCTTTTTCCTCTTGCTGCTGACAGTTTACTTCTCCGGGCAGGTCGAAACCTGTGGCATTGGCCACAAGCTGCCTGTGCACGACAGCCTGACTACAAGTACTGACAGCACACTGGCGGGTAGGAATGACATCAACGTAACCACAGCAGCCTACCAAGTGATAGAAAAGACACCGTGCAGTTTATGAGAAAAACACATATTCATGTTTCGGTCTGTGGCGGAAAATGTCCATTAGGAATGGCAGATTACTTTCATATCCACGATGAAGACCAACTAGGTTTTTACTTTGGTAAATGAATACTAATTTATACTTCCCGGGGTTATAAACCAGCTAAACACCTACCAGTTACTTAACGGTAATTTAAGAATCATTTATTAAAAACTGATAACTAGATAACAATTTGCTTATTTTTGGCGACGTTGTTACCTTGCAAGACATTTAAGAAAATAATGCACCAAATTTTGATCTTATGAACCGAGTTAGTTTGGTAATGTCAACAGTTAGCATTAGCATCACTACTAGCAGCTAATCTTTCATTGCTTTGTCATTCATTTACTTTGCACATTAAAACGACGGCTAGAATCGTTACATGAACTCGCAGGTTTTCGATAGCTTTATATTAGAGGCCTTAATTACCGTAATACACAGTCCGGTAATGGTATCCTGTATTGATGAAATTTTCTGGTAGCAATTTCACCGTCAACCGCGTCTCTGTCATTCGTTTATTTACAACGGAATTGTGTGGGAAAAAGAGAAGAGCGTACAATTGACGTACTTGCCCATTGGTTGAAATCCAGAAAGTTCCAGATGCGTCAAGGGCTGCGGCGTCAGCGCGTCGCCTCAATAGTCTACAGACTTGTCAATCATATTAAAGAACCCCGCCCATAAATGGAAAGTCGTTTAACTGAACTAAAGCTCTCCTTAGCAACTTGGAGAAAGAAAAATATCATTATTAAAGTCTCGTAAATCTTCTCAATTAATTTTTTTTTTAAAATAAACGGACTCATACCAACAGGCATATAAAATATCCTCGTTCAGCCTTTCATTTTACCAGCTTTAGTCAGGACCTTTGCTTTTTTGGCCGCTACCCCTCTCCGTAGGAGCAATAGAGTCACCATCCGGCGCATGTGCACTGTATACTTTAAGCTAACTTTAACTTGCTGTCCACGCGTGTTTAGAGTCTCACTTTGGGAAAAGTGGGGTTTGAGCCCAGGGATTTTAGAAATATACGACGCGTTTTTCTTCAGAATGGGTGGTCAAGCTAAGGGTAAAAAGAAAAATAAACCGAAGAGGAAAGATAACCGTCCAAACAGGGGTGAGTTCACTGGTTTATCATTTTATTTACTGTGTATAACGTCAAATTCGTACACACAATGTTTATAGAAAGGAACGACTGTTATGTTTTGTTTTGAGTGCAGCTCTAATAAGAACTATTGTTACACGTGCACTTGTGACATCCCAGCAGATGGAGGATTTGTTGGTTTATCACCTCAAGAAAGGATGAAGGTAAGAATGCAAGAAAAAGCCAAGAAGAAGACAGCGGAGAAGTACTCAGTACAGCAACTTCTACAGAAGGTAATGTTTATTACATATCCACAACAAAGGCAGGACCCAAATATGTCATTGCCTTAATATCCTTTTATTCTTTAAATTCTAATCAGCTACTGAACTTTCCTTATGTACTGTGGTGTACAGACTGAAGAATGCATGGACAGTTTTGACTTTGAAATGGCCAGCCTTTTCTGTCAAAGAGCCCTGGATGTGGAGCCCACCAACCTGCAAGTTCTAGACATGCTGGGACACGTTTCCTCTGAATTAGGAGACACACAGAAAGCTAAAGAAATATCCTTTCTCGCTGCTTGTGTCCATAATTTTGTAATTTCACTACACTGCCGTGATAATTTCATTCTACTCTAATGCAGTGATTCTTGTGGCTTCCTTGACTCCCCTCTCACGTATTTCTACGTGCTGTGGAGCTTAGCCCAGATGTTGGCCACAGTAAGTACATGTACCTGGGACAAATCCACACAGGCCGAGAGGCTGTGGACTACTATACCAAAGGCATACAAGTCCTACTGAATACATTGGAGAAACAAGGAACAACAACAGTAAGTGATTGCACATAGGACTACCCCTCTCTGTTTCTCTGGTTATGGAAAGTGAACTAGATGTCATGACTTTGTGTTCAAGGCTCCTGATTTTTTTTCATTTTCACAAGAGGGTGCTATTGGACAATGCATTGTTATGACAGATTTATGTCAAACCTATAAGCATCCTGTTGTTTAACTGTTACTCCAGACCTGTATTACTAATTTACAGATATTTACAAAACACTTTACCGACACTACAATGCACTAAAAACTATGAACTGTGAACTCGACTTTGAAACAAAACAAACTTTACACCGAAAATGTGAAAGAGTAAAATGGTAGTTTTGGAAATGGTCAGAGGATGGTAGTTTTACAACTTCTGTCTTTTTCCCCCCTCAAATATAGTTATTTATTTAAAAAAGAAAATATTGCTCATTAAGTTTTTTGCGTAAGCAAAGATAAAATGTTTTCTCATTTAGAGGACATAATAATGTTCCATGCATTACAATGTTAACATTAAATTAGAACAAATGGAAGGAAAATAGAATAGAAGAATAAGGTTAAAAATGTTAGGATACATTGTATTAATTGCACATGTATTAATCTGTCAATTTTACATTCACTTATTCAATATTCTTGTTGTTTAACTTTGTGACACCATGTTTATTAATATCATTGTATCAGTGTCACTTCTAGCTAGATAAGTGTGTCAGTACTCAATAACTGTGACAATGAGTCAACATGAACAGAGCAATGACTCTGAAAGTAAATTGGATAAATTTAATTCACGCAGTTTGCATCTCTGATGTTACTGCTTCCTTCCTGCTGTGACATGTTAATATGATTTCAGAGGAAAAAGCTTATTCAGATGGTGTCCCTTTTTATTCTGATTATTTCAAAAAGAAAACCTGTCTTAGATTCTGTTTCATATAAGTCTCTTTCAGTCTCTTTTGATTTGTAATGAATAATATGAACTTTAGAAACTAAAGAAGTCTGCCCTTTGATTCATGCAGGCTCTGGCTGGAGCTGCTGCCCCACCAGATGAGGACCCCGAGCTCCCCACAGAGAAGGATGTTAGTGTAGCCTACTGCTCCATCGCTGAGATTTACTTAACAGACCTCTGGTACTGGAGCACACAGAGTTCTGCACTTGACACTGATAGGCCTGCCTTTGGTAATATTTTGAGATTTTCTTTTTCTGTGTGTGTGTGTGTGTGCATGTAGCATGGAGGAGGGGGCTGCCGACAAGTGCAGAGAGTTCATAGAGAAAGCATTACAGTATCGCCATGACAACCCAGAGGCTCTACAGCTTATGGCCAGTTACCTGTTCAGTACAGAGAGAAACCAGGTCAGTCCTCTCTCTCTCTCTCTCTCTCTCTCTCTCTC